CTTAAATTATTAATTCTCTTCCTTTTATATTAGCAATAAAAATAACTTTTTACTGTGGTACATCAAGCAAAGTATATCAACATGAAAATTTTCATTTATTATAGTGTTTTAGCTTTGTTAATATAATTTCATATATTATAATTCAGTAAATAGAATTTTATCAAACATATAAAACTATGTATTGCATGAGGTAAAATGAATATAATAAAAGTTAAAAATTTTAAAAAAAAAAAAAGCATACAGATGTACTTAAATATGTAAATAAAAATAAACACATTTTGCTTTTAATAAATCTGTAAACAAATAATTCAATAAGATAATGTTTTATTAAATATGTTACATGTTCATCTACACTGTTATATAATTATATAAAGTATTAGTACTCAATATGGCATAATATGGTGATATACAAATGCGCATGTTGTCTTACAAAAACTAGATTATTAAAATTAAAATTAAATTTTCTAATAATTGAAACAAAATATTTATCGAAAAAATATGATTTCCTCAAATTCTCAATTATATTATTTTCACAATCTACTATGCATACAATACATTTATAAATACTAAAAATCATATAAACACATTAAATTTTATTCTAAGTATAATTATGTATATTATTTTTATTCACATTCTAAAAATTGAAATAATTATGCATATTTTTTGAGAATTATTACATACTTATGTAGCTTTTTATCATATTAAATTAACCTGAAATCATTGTAATATAGCTAATACTATTATTTTCTGTAAGGAGAAATTGTAATGTTTTTCCGTTTTTTTTAGGGTAATAAAAATTTTATAAAATAAACCATATTCTTTAGAAGAAAATTTTGATAATCTTATTAAAATAAATATAATATATAAATAACACTTTGTTTGATTATTATTTTTTTTTTAATAAATATTTTCAATATAGCAAACTATATTAATTCCAATAATGACTCCGAAATAAATCAGAAATGTTAAAATCTTATGTTGAAAAAAAATGTTGTGTATATTATATATTAAATTAAAAAAAATAGTGTTTGATATGTGAAAATGAATTTTTTTCCAGCGACAAATTTTATCAATTTTAATTGTTCTTTTTAATTTTGTATTTATAAGTGCTCTTTGAATATATTTTATATTTATTCTTTTAATATAAAATTACAATGTAATAACATAGTACAAGAAAACTATCACAATTTCTATAAATACTTATAAATTATTGAGTATTTATTGAATATCTGTAAACAAAATAAGCATACAATATGTTATGGAAAAGTCATTGCTCAATAGATGCAGATAATAAGTTTCGACAATAATTGAAATGTCGATTTCATGTAAATATAGATAGAAGTGTATATATTCTAATAACTCACAAGGAATCTGGTTTCATTAAAAACAAAAAAAAGTAATCCTCCGCATTAAGATAGGAAGCACAACCCCTTAAAAAACAAGAATACTGGTGATTATGCTTCTGTAACGAAGAAATAATCACATCATTATGAAAATGATATTGTCGGTGTATTAATATCAAGAAATACAGATTAAAATTGATTTTCCAATTTTTCCAAAAATTATTCGAAGCATTATATCATTCTATTACACAATGATCATTTTAATGAAAAAAAAGTTCTAAAATAAATTAATAAAATTTAAGAAAGTGAATTATATATCTGAGTAATATATTAAAATTAAATATCTCAGTATATATGTGAAAACTAAAACAAGTGAAAATATGAATAAAAAATTATGTCTTCCAATTCAGGAATAATATAAAAAAGAGAAAGATTTAAATGTTCTTCAAATTTTTTTATAATTTCCTTTGCTTCATGAGTTCAACCGTGTTTTCATTCCTTAGAACTTATTCTGAAAAATAGATATCTGCAAGCACTCACTTGTTAACATTTGGGAAAGTAGTCTCTTTTAAATATTTATGTTTAGGAAATTTTACAATTTTTTATGTTCCCTATTTTTATAATGAGATTGCATTAAAGCATATATAAGAGATTAAAAAAAAATTTATATATTATCATGATAAAAATTAATATTATATGCAGTGGTTTTATTAAATTTATGTTTTCATTTCATCTAAATACTTCATGAAAATTTACACCATTGGAAGATATTATGATAACAATATAAAACGTATTAGAAACATAGTATAAAAAATCATAGTTTTGAACGGAAATTATGATCTGTAATATTTGAAATTCCCAGAAATACAACTATACAGCCTTTATGTAATTCTTTATCATAAAGCATTTTTAACAAATTGAATATTTTAATATAATTATAAAAAGATTATTTCTTTTTAGACAAGGTTATAGAATTAGAATAAATCTTAAATGAAATAAAGATAAATTATTACAAAAAGTTTATCATATATCTCAATTTGAGTGTTATAATGTATAAAAGATAAAGTAAAATAAAACTGATATTTAAATTTCAATATGAGATAACTTACTACTATCTTCATTTCAATTTCATAATTTTTTATTTAATTATAGAATGTGATTTCCCCAAAATATTTACAACACAGAGAACAACAAAATTTATATATTTTATACAAAGAACTGATATGCTTATGTTATTTATCATGTGTTGTTTTTTCAAATTTATAATTAATTCAGTTTTCTTAAACTGAAGATCTTTTAAAACAAAAATAAAAATACTCCTCCTCAATAAAAGTCTCCAATAGATTAAGTTGTGTAGTATAGAACTTATATTCATATTGTTTTTTTATTACATGATTAATAAGAAATAAAATTAATAACGATGAACTAAAAACAAAAAAAACAATAAATATATATATATATATAAACAAATTTATATTGTTTGAGCATACATTATAAGACGACAAAAAATATAATAATTCGGTTATTCCCTATGATGCACAAATAATAAATCAAATATTTATTATTATATAATTAACAATTATTACTATTAGGATATTCAATTAGATTATAAATAAATAAATGTGTGTGAATTTATTATTTAATATATATATACATTAATATACATACTGTAAAAACGAGAAATTATACTTCAAATGTAAGAATCCATAACAATTATACATCTTCTGCAGTGCTAAATTAAACAATAAAGTATAATGATATACTCAAATAAAATAGAGAACATTGACTGTTTCAGAACTGTTGTTTATATATTAATATGCAACTGGTTATGAATACCCTTAATAATATTTATTAATTAATATTATTTAAAATATATAATGTTTTATATTATACATAAAATAAATAAATGTATGACTAACACTTTTTTTTAATTAATAATAGTATTACAAGTAAGCATACCTTTATATGCATTGTATATTTTCTTGCTTAGAATAAATGTGCATTCAAATTTTCGAAAACAAAAACAATAGCAATCATAAATACATAAATAGTAAAATGAAAATATAAAAAATTGATTATAATATTGTTGTAATTTAAAATCAGTATAAATAACAACATATTTATCATTATATGCAGAAAATGTATAATAAGATCTCAAATTCACATTTTTATGTTAATATTCTTGTAACATCACTATAATATAATAAATATTAACATAAAAAATTAATTAATATAATATTTATTCAAAATGTTTTATTCTATAATATATTTTGTTAATATTTATTTTCACTATAAAATAATATATATAATAAAATAAAATGCATTCTACTTATTTCCAAATATGATATTATACTAAAAAAATAACTGTAAATAATAAGACATAACAATAAACCTAGGTATTAAACACTAAAACATATTCTGAATTATTATGTATTTTGGAATTGGTATATGTATAATTTTTACTATATGTTTATGCGTACTGAATACATAAAAATATTGCAATTTTAAATACAACACTTATTTATATGATAAATATATTAATTTCCATTTGTTATTATGTTATTGTAAAAGAAACTAATTATTTTCCTTCTCTTGTAGAGTTATTAATGTACAGAATTATTTATCTTCATACAAATATATATAACAAAAGTATAACTTTGCGAGTCCTAAACGGAAGAATTATATATTTCTATATTTTACATTAAATCTTCTCCTTGAATCTAAAACATCAGTAATCGTATAATCTTCTATTGTATTTCTATCCATTATAATATTAC